ACACTGGCAGGAAAGCCACTGGGGGCAATTATAGTATCTATATAGTGTCTTGCCCAAGGACACTTCGGCACGCAGCCTGGAGGAGCCAGGGACTGAACCACCGACCTTCCGATTAACAGGCAACCTGCTCGACCCCCTGAGCTGCCTGCTGTCCTTGGCTGGATGCGGATGTCGAATCGGCCGACTCCTCCTGATATTTAGCATGCTAAGTATTTGCTGGTGTCTGCGATGTGTCAGTGATGCGTCGGGGAGCCGTTTTGATGCGTCTTTGAGTAGTTCACACATAAGGACTGGTGACCGTGGATTTACCCCTGATCACAGCCGAGCTTGCCAACCGGTAAATCGGACTTAGGATTGTGTGTGAACTAGGCTTCAGGCAGTTAGCCTCAGTCTCTGCTCATGTGCATAAATGGGGTGAGAATGAAGAGACTAGAAAGGCACTAGACCATTTACCATGTATGACAATTCATTGGGAACTGGGAGCAAAACAGAAAATGTTCAGACTGCAGAAGAGGCTATCTCATAAAGTGACCTCACTTGAAGTGACCTACTTTACTGTACCAGGTGCTAAAACTAAGAATAATTAAGTATAACATGACACACAGATGCAGCATGGTGGTGTGGCGGTTAGCACTGTCGCCTCACAACAAGAAGGGATCAAACTTTGGTCATCCCAGGCCAGTTTGCATGTTCTCCCCGTGTCTGTGGGGGTTTTCTTCATGTTCTCCTGCTTCCTCCCATAGTCCAAAGACATGCATAGGTTAATTGATGACTCTTACAGTTTGGACAGAAACATTTTGTCTGCCAATTTACGGAACTAATGGGGAGGAAGTTGATCAAGCAGCAGGACAATGAGCCAAAGCACACTGCCAACTAAACAAAGGACTTCATCAGGGGAAAAAGTGGAAGGTTTTAGACTGGCCAAGTCAGTCACCTGACCGTAACCCAATAGAGCTGCATTTCACCTCCTTAAGAGGAGACTGAAGGGAGAAACACCCCGAAACAAACAAGAACTGAAAGAAGCTGCGGTAAAAGCCTGAAGTAGCATCACAAATGAAGAATGCAACAGTTTGGTGATGTCGATGGGTCGCAGGCTTGAGGCAGTTATTGCAAGCAAATGTTAAATGTTATTTACTTTAAAATTATTTGTTCCATTACTTTTGCTCTCCTAAGAATGCTGTAGTCTAATACAAACTCTGATATGTCCTGAGTTGTTATATACCAGGAAATGGCAGCTGAAATTCTGAACTCTTGTCTCATCCTCATCTGGGACTGTACATTTTTCATCTCATTCATATTTTTGAAAACATGTTCTATCATAGTAGCTCAAAAATGATCAGAAATTATATTCTGCTTTGCTCTTTGCAATTTATTTTGTTCTTCCTCCTCCTTGTACACCTATTTTTACAGTACTATACCCCACATCTCACAAACTTGTCCTTTGTTTCTGTGATATTGTAATTCTTGTTCTGTGCTGATATGAACCTGCAACCAGCCAAAATCTATTGAGCAGTCAGTACTGGTGACAAATGGAAAGCACAATCTTCAGGGCCAGACAACCTGTTTGCTCTCTGAACTGGCTTATATTGGTTGTGTCACATGATTTGAAACAAGTGAAATCAATTTTGCGTGGTCGTGTTTAATCAAACACGTGTGTTCTCTATTTTTATTTGATTGTTTCCACTTGTGTTACCAGTATTGATGACATGTACATTAGAGTGCAGAATGTGTTTTGAGAATGCTGAAAAGCCTAAGTGAGATCTGCAAATTGTGTTTTACCATGTGAAATGGTTTAAGGTATTGACAACAGACGGCACAATCAGCTAAATGAGTTCAGGCAACTGCGTACTTTGTTCAGCCAATGGGTTTTAGGGTTTTAGCAATTAAGAAAAACTGTAATTGCCCTTATGTGTGAATGTGTGTGTTTGTTTTGACATAAGCAATTGATAATGTAGTAATAAGCAGACAATTCTACATAATCATTTGCATCAGTGTGTCAAAGCATTTGAACACACAAGAAGAAAAACTGATTTTATAATATGCACAAGTGACGAGAGTACTCAAAGCACATACATTGCGATGTTTTGTTGTTTAATTCCCAGGATGCCGACATGTGTAAGCCACCTCCAGGTACTTATAAGTGCCAATACAGGGGTCTCCAAACACTGAGTTGCTGGCTTTGATAGCACAGATCTTTTCCCGTTGCAGCTTTAAGCAACTTTGCTCGTGGTGTTGCAGCAGTTGACACTTTGGACCTAAGAGGCAGGTCTTTTGGTGGTTTTGGGGTCACGGAGTCCATAATAAGCACTGTAGACAAATATAACCCGTCTTCCAGAACAGCAGCTTTACCAAAGACTCCTCACATGCTACGCTGAAGATGCTGCTGGAAGTCCGTTATCATCTTTTCTTCATAACGGCCAAGGTATATGAATGTATATGAATAGATATATTTGCAGATGATGGGGCCATCTGGAAGCGAGGGAGGAACCTCTCCTGTATTTTTGGCCAAATTCAAGCTGCACTGGAGAAAGAAACTGAATTGGGTTTTAAAATATCTACAGATAGAAAGAAATACATGGTATGTGAAAATAAGAAGAAAATGCCCACACAGCAGTTGCAAATATATAAGAATCTTGAAAAGTGAACAACTTTAAATTTGTAGGACTGTAGCTGGCTGAAAGAATGACATGAAAAAAGCATATTAATTGAGATGGTTTCTTTGAAGTGTGGGGTGGCACGATCTGATCGGGGGGCTGATGAATCTATGATGATGATATACAGAGCAATAATAAGATCAGCTATTGATTATGGCTGAATAGTATATTGGGTGAGCAGCCCCTTCAATGATTAGTCAATTTGATCATTTCCAAGCAAAAGTTCTTAGAGTGTGGTGTGTGGCATTTTGTACAACTCCAATATCAGCGCTATCAATAGAAACAGGGGAGATGCCATTAGAAATAAGAAAACTCGGTTTGAAGTATTTAATGAAACTAAAAGGTTGGAATGAAAAACTACCAACAAAAAGCCGGTTGAGTCAGCACTGGGAGTTGGAAGTATGGGAACAGCAAGAAGGATGAAAACAAACTCAAATCTATGGCAGAGGAATTTGAATGAATGTCAATGTCGTCCAGCTATATCCTCATGGTTGATTCCAGATCCCATTGTTGACTGATATTTTTTGAAAACAATCAAAAGAAAGATGCTGTAGAGACCAGAGGCTTTAGAGAAGGAGATAAAAGTCTGGCAGTGGCCACCTTCAAATGTATACTGACGGGTCACGGGATCCTGAGAGCGGTAAAGTGGCTTTTGGTGTTAGCATACCTGAAATAGGTTACAATAAAAGGTTGCAGGATTCCAGATCACATGTCAGTCTTCACAGCAGAGCTGGTGGCAGTTCTATGGGCATTAAGGTGGGTTGATGATAACATACAGCAGCATTCAGTCATATGTAGTGACTCAGCAGCAACTCTAATTACAATTAAAGATACTAAAACTAAGTCCAGACCCGATTTACCTGTGGAAATTCTACAGGTGTTGTATAGAATTCACAAAGCAGGGTATGAAGTGGAGTTTCTATGGGTTCCGGCGCACATGGGTGAGGATGCAGAAGAGGTGGCAAAGGGGGGGCAGGAGGAAAGGGTTCAAATTAATTTTCAGCATGGGTCACCAGAGAACACAGAAATAATAAATCGGTCAGTAAAGGAAATGTGACAATGGAAAGGAAGGCAAGGGCATATTTTCCATTACAGAGAATTGTTTAGAAAAATGCACATTTAGATGTGAGAGAAGAGATGGACTGGTTTTATCCAGACTGAGCTTTGGGCACTGTGGGCTGGCTCTGATTGGTAAACATCCTGATGGAAAGTGTGACTGTGGAGACAAGGAAACAGCAAAGCATGTGGGCTACTGGGTCATAGCAGATATGACTCCTGTCAAAGGGAGCAACTAGAGACACTGATCAATAAATGTACAGGTTTTCAAATTATTATTATTTTGATCGATATTTTAGAAATTGTTTTGTTTTTACATTTGATACCGATTTCTCATTTTTTAAAATTGTATTATTATTTTTAATCAATAAATTAATTTTTTAATTATTTTGCATATTAATATATATATATACACACACACACGTTACTGTTTCATTTATTAGTTTTATTTTAATTTTTTTAATGTATTTAAATTTTTTAACACACACATACACGCTTACTGTTTTATTTATTCATTTTCTTTTTAATCTATTTAAATTTTTTAACACACACGCACACACACACGCTTACTGTTTTATTTATTTATTTTATTTTTAATCTATTTAATATTTTTAACACACACACACACACACGCGTACTGTTTTATTTTTTATTTTATTTTTAATCTATTTTAATTTTTTAACACACACACGCTTACTGTTTTATTTATTTATTTATTTTTAATATATTTAAATTTTTTAACACACACACATGCTTACTGTTTTATTTATTCATTTTCTTTTTAATCTATTTAAATTTTTAACACACACACACACACACACGCTTACTGTTTTATTTATTTATTTTATTTTTAATCTATTTAATATTTTTAACACACACACACACATGCTTACTGTTTTATTTTTGTTTTTTATTTTTAATCTATTTTAATTTTTTAACACACACACATGCTTACTGTTTTATTTATTCATTTTCTTTTAATTTTTAATATTTTTTCTTTCTTTTTTTTTAACACAAACACACATTCTGATTACTTTTTTGATGGGTTGGGTTGTTTTTATGTTGTATGTAACGTTATGATGCTTTGGCAATATTGTTGTTACACATTCATGCCAATAAAGCTAATTTGAATTGAATTGATTGTCTTTAATCTATGCACTCTTCTTAATTTGGACAGCTGGAACAAAATGAAGAAACTGATGGAGTACCTGTGGATTATATTGACAAAGATGTGAATAGTGAATAACGGAATAACGAACAGTGGAGGGCAGCAATACGCCACAGATGCTTCTAGGCTGTCGAATACAAGAAGAAGAAGAAGAAGAAGCCAGCTGAACTGTGCTCTTCCAGGTCGAGCCGAATCTGCAAGTATATATTGAGAGCCAGGCAGGTCGATAGATCCCGTCACTAACAGGCTTAATATCGTTCGCTGTGTTCACTACTCACTGTTTCAACAGCAAACTACCGAGATGGGACCGAAAGTGACTCTTGCGACTTGCTCGGTGAATCAGTGGGCTTTGGACTTTGAAGGCAATTTGGAGAGAATACTGAAGAGTAAGTTAGACTATTAGGCTACTGGACAGGTGTATAATATTTACAGTATGTGACAGAAACTCCACAATTTATTATTTGTGTTTTAATTCCTGAATTCTTACGGTAACGTTATTAGCTTGATGAGCAGAAAGGTTTACTTCAGTTAGTTTTTTCTTTTTTACCACTTTTATATGCAAACTGTGAAGACTGACATTTGGTCAAAAAGCAAACTTAAATTGTAGTATGGAATTGAAATACTTGAGGATCGCAATGAACGTTGAATTGGCACCCACAGTAAGGTGGTATGGAATTGGGAGAGAATGCCTTTTAGTTTACCCATAAATTAATTCTCAGTAATTCTGGTTTGTTTTCTGCCCCCTACGTTTGTGTGCATCTTACTGATGAGCAGTCTAGATGAGGGAGTAAACATCGAGATAATTCTGCCTTTGCTGCTTTGATATTTAACTTTTTTTAATTCATTTATCTCTCCCAACTTTGTGGAAGTACAATACTGAACCCCTGTGGACACTATTTAGTAAAGGACTGACCTCTGCTTCCACCACTATCAATGCTCACTAAACCAACAGTCATTTTTGCCTCTTGTCTGTCCTTGTGTTTCTCTGCAGGTATTGAGATTGCTAAGGCTCATGGAGCCAAATACAGACTGGGCCCAGAGCTGGAGATATGGTATGATGGGAAAAGCTAGAGATTCACTGATCGATAAGCCGTTAAACACACTAAAACATATTGTCAGTGTGGAAGTTCTTTGCCATGAGTGAAGAAGATGCAACACTCGCAATTTGTAATAACTGTATGGCCAAAAAAGGTCACCAGAGCAGACAGACACAGTGAGAGAGAGAGAGAGAGAGAGAGGTGTAGGTGTCTGAAGGGAAGGGCAAGGTGAGCAGATTTTACTGTAGATTGTGAGTAAGCACTAAAATAAGGTGGGGAATTAAGTAAAATTAAAATGGTGAGACAAGAAATAACTAACTTGATATAAGGTAATGTATTCTTTCTAATATTTAGAAATAAAATATCCAAATATACCTCAGTTCACAAACAATCTGTCCTGCAGCCTGACCTGGTTCGTTTTTTATTTTGAGATGTGTTTGAGTGAGACAAGGTTCTGTGGTTTAGGAGAAGTAGGGAAGTTATATAATAATAATGTTATAATATGAACATGCAGTCGAATGGACCCCAGGAGCCAATGCTTCTGATGGTGCTAATGGGGATTCATTAAAGAAAAGTTGCAAAAATATATGTGTGTAAATTATAGTTCTTAGAAAGACAGGTAGTTGGAATCGGCAGGTCGGACCTTGGAATCAGCGCTTCTCAAGGAAAAGCAATCATTAGTTTCCAATACACATGCTTGGTTTCACACAGACATGAGTATATCCCCATATTAAGATGTCACTATATGATTATTATTAACAGAGGTTTTATGTAAGGCGCTGCTAACTGTGTTTGGAGGTTCAGTTTGCCTCTACTCTGTTGACACCTCTTTTCTAATTCACTTGACTTTTACAGCGGGTATGGCTGTGCAGACCACTTCTATGAGTCGGACATGTTGCTCCACAGCTTTCAGGTCCTGAGGAAGCTTCTGGAATCTCCGATCACCCAGGACATCATCTGTGACGTAGGAATGTGGGTATCACTCAAAAAGACCAGTCCAAATAGCAGTATTCAATCTGGCAGTCCTGATTAAACAGAGTGTCACATGTCCTGAACACCTTGTGGCTGCAGGAGATAACTGAACAAGGACTTTGGCATCCCATACTTTACTAATGGTAACGGTTGTTCCACTGCAAAATGCTGTGTCTAAATAATCTGCAATTTTAATCTTTATTAATTTAAAAATAACCACCGTTCTTAGTCACCATTCTGTTTGTCTTATCTAAAAAACAAAAACAAACTCACATCATATAGCTGGAAGTCTGGTTTGGTGTCACAGTCTATGGGTGTCACATTTGACAAAGAGATTTGGATTCTGTTCCCCTCAGGCCCATCATGCATCATAATGTGCGCTACAACTGTCGGGTCCTGTTCCTCAACAGGTAGGTCAGCACACCTATCCGGTTTCATAATCACATGTGTTTTTGGTTCTTTATTTATAATTATATAATATGAGTGGACAAAATCTTTCTCATTCAAATCATTTTCTTCCATCCTGTAGAAAGATACTGCTGATCAGACCTAAAATGCTGATGGCCAACTACGGGAACTACAGAGAGATGCACTGGTTCTCTCCTTGGAACCAGTTACGGTTTGTCATAAAGTCTACTTATTTCTTTGGTATTTTAATTATATTAGCAAATGATTTAATAGATTTATTACTTTCATTTGCAATGGCTTTTAGACTTGATATTTTATTTGTTAGTGTATTAGGGCTATTATGATATTAAACTCTAAACTATCTAAATGAGTCTGTTTGCCCATAGGCCTTAAAAGAGTACTCCAGCAATGTATTAAGAGACGGATGTTTGAAGTTTAGCAGAGCCTATGAAGGCTGAGTAGTACTCCCCAGGCCCATATTATAGTTGTTAAAAGGTAACACTCTTCCCCATGATTGTAGTGTATGAGCAAATCCACATTAACATATTTGCCAAAATGCTGGCAGTGATTTATGAGGCCACCTTGTACCTTCCACTGAGATGCAGTTTTGTGTACCACTGAAGTGATTTCATTTCACTTTTGAAAATGACATGGATGGTAGTGAATGTACTGTTGTTGTTTTCTGCCTCTTTCTTCAAGGCAAGTGGAGGAGTATTTCTTGCCCAGAATGATCCAGGAGGTAACAGGGCAGGTACAAAAAACTCTGTGATCCTCTCTGTTTAGCTAAAAGTCGACCTAGGCCGTTTTTCCACCCTTGAAACAGATGGTGGGTGTTTTTTCTTTGTGTTCATCAGGATACAGTCCCATTTGGTTACTGTGTGCTGTCCACAAAGGACACCTGTATTGGAAGTGAGATATGTGCCGAGCTCTGGAACCCCAGAAGGTAGAGAACCTTCTGGATTTTATGGATGGTGTAGTTTTCTGTGAACTGTCTGAAACAACTCCTGGTGACTGAACGTTCACTCTTTTCCTCAGCCCCCATATTCAGATGGGTCTGGACGGGGTTGAGATCTTCACTAATTCGTCTGCTAGCCACCACGAGCTCCGCAAAGCTGATGAAAGAGTCAACCTGGTAAAGTCAGCCACCACAAAGGTATCCTCGAACCAGGAGTCCTTTAAACATTTCTTGTCTGTTCACGTAGAAACATGAAAATGTTGTGGTTATGCTTGGTACAAACGCATGTTACTAAATACTGGTCTGGAGCACTTTATCAAGACACTTTATGTTGGTTTTGGTTTCATTTGTTACTAATCTGTAATTGCACAGACAATGCAAAGCAGAGCTCACTAGAGGGCAGTGTTGTATCACACACATGGGATGGAATAGAATCATAACATCCTATGTTTTCTGTACATGTATTACTAAAATCAGCACTGCGTTCAGTGTGTTGTTGGTGTTGTTCCAGAGTGGAGGTATCTACCTGTATTCCAACCAGAGGGGCTGTGATGGAGACCGGATCTACTATGACGGCTGTGCCATGGTGGCCATCAACGGAGACATTGTGGCACAAGGTGCACAGTTCTCCCTTGATGATGTGGTATGTATGGGAGAAAAACCTAGACCCTGGTCACAACGCACCTGCAAATGTGTCTATGTAGTTGATGTGACATTGATGTTGATGTGAAGTGACATTATTATAGGTGTGGACAAAAAATAATTTTGCCAGATCAGTTGTGCGCTGCAGTGTGAAAACATGACTTACTTTTTGTGTGTAGAGGTTTCCTGTGTGTGCAGGTGTATTGGGTAAATGTTGCAGGGCAGACAACATGCCTGAGTCACAAGAGATCCAGACTGTGTGTGTGTGTGTTGTAGGAAGTGATTACAGCCACTCTTGACCTTGAGGATGTGCGGAGCTACAGAGGAGAAATATGCCAGCCAAACATGGTGAGAGACACCAGCTTCCAACCTTCAAAATTCCTCATATCAAGAGCAGAGCCTATTGCTTTTTCTATTGCTTTTGCTTATTATTGCCTGCCATCACCTCTAAAGCTCACAAATTACCTGGTCAAATTTTTTTGTTTATCCAATACTTTGGTTTGGGTCAAAATAGCTGAAAAACTGATTCCTATCAGCCTCAGCTGTACTCTAACTGTAGTATGTACCATTGGTAATCTCCCATCCATATATCCATCGTCAACCGCTTATCCTGTGTACAGGGTCGCGGGGCCATTGGTAATCTGACATAACTAAATCTGAACAATAAGTCTTATGTGGGTACAAAGATAACTCTTTTTTATACAGTTATTATGTGACCCTGTAATGTTCTATGTAAACATAATGGAAGTTGTAGGTAATGTGTTGAAAAGCCTTGGTTGGATAGAATGTGAGGTGTAGCTATGGTTACAGTTGAGTGGAAGTACTGTATGTCTTTAATGACACTGGGTGAAAATAGCAGGACAGGCATTTGTATGTCACACATTACAGCTAATGAGACTAGAACAAAAACTCATGATGAGGTCTTATGATTAGATGCCGGTCTCTTTACAGAGCAGCGAGCAAGTCTGCTTGTCTTGAGTCACCAATCAAGTCATGCTTTAAGCTGCAAAAAGCCACTGTACATTCAGCAGACAGACACAGAGACTAGCCGGTGAACACAGTGGAGCACTTAGAGACAGATATTTCCTTCAGGAGCTGGGAGAGACCAAAACCAGAGCTAACAGAGAGTGACAGTTGGACTTACATTCATCAGGTGGATGCAAATGAATGATAATTCAATTCAGTTTTATTTAAATAGCGCCAATTAACAACAACAGTTATCTCATAGCTCTTATTGTTGCTCTGTGTCTGCTGGATGTGTAAATAAGCACCTGTTTGCTAAGACGTTCACCATATCAACTTTATAAGGTGAATATGTCAGATGTTGCAGCCTGTT